CAATTAAGGTAGTAGTCATCGATCTCATTATAGGGGAAGGACATTTAAGGTACCCTCTCTCCACTATTGCTTAGATTCTTTTTTTTTATTTTGTTTTTACGAGACAGGCTTTCTCTGTTTTTTTTTTGCCGGCTATTGGTCCAGCCCGGCCTCGAACTCATAGAGATCCACCTGCCTCTGCCTCCCGAGTGCTGGGATTAAAGGCCTGCGCCACCACCGCCCGGCTATTGCTTAGATTCTTACTTGGAGTCATCCTATGGATTCTTGGGAATTTCCTTAGTGCTATGTTTCTTGTTAACCCCATAATGGCTACCTCTATCAACACAATTCTTTACAGACCTAGAAAGAACAATACTCAACTTCATATGGAAGAACAAAAAAACTCAGGATAGCTAAAACAATCTTGTATCATAAAAGAATTGGGGGATATCTCTGTCCCCGATTTCAAGCTGTACTGCAGAGCTATAGGAATAAAAGCAGCATGGCATAAATAGACAGGTGATCAATGAAATTGAACCAAAGACCCAGTTGTAAATTTGCACACCTAAATTTTGATAAAGAAACCATAAATATGTAATGGAAAAAAGAAAGTATCTTCAACAAATGGTGCTGGTCTAAGTGTATGTTGGCATATAGAAGAATGCAAATAAATCCATCTCTATTATCAGCATGTACAAAAGTCAAGTCCAAATGGATCAAATACTTCAACATAAAACCACACACGCTGAATCTGATAGAAGAGAAAGTGGAAAATAGCCTGAATGCATTGGCACAGAAGACTACTTCCTTAAGAGAACACAAATCACAAAGACACTAAGATCAACAATTAATAAATGGGACCTCATGAAACTGAAAAGCTTCTGTAAGGCAAAAGACACCATCAATATGACAAAATGGCAGCCAATGGAGTGGGAAAAAATCTTCACCAACTCCATATCTAACAGAGAACTAATTTCCTTTCAAATAGGAAATAGAATAGATTTCGAGCTGGACTAGGGCAGGTGGAACAGAATCAGAAGAGATCAGGTGGGGCAAGGCTGGGGAGAGTACTGGGAAAGATGACTGGAGTAGGAGCGTATTCTGTTTCCTTACATTGATTACACTCCTTTTAAAAATATGGAAGGTCAGGAATTGATTCTTTCCTTCAGCTGTAGCATAGGTTACAGAGATCCAATTCATATGATCAGGCTTGGAAAAAAAACATTATTATCTGCTGAGCCATCTCACTAACCTTTTGAAATTGTGAATACTGTGCCTTCCCTGTCTCCTTATGTTTGAACAGCCATTATAGTACGAAAAGCTTTCTTATTTATATTTCTTACTGGAGTTTCATAAAGTTCAAAGATCAAATGTTATTACCACAGTACAGCTGAGAATAGAGCATCAGTTTGATTAAAAATATCTTGCTATAGGTTATATAGTTAAGAAGGGGCAGAAATGGTACTAGGATCCAGTTCAAAGTACTGTCAGTTAGCTACATCCACAGTTCTAATAAATTTTAAAAATTATTTCTCACCTGTGTTTTCGAACAAGAAATAAAAAGACAGAATTTATATTCAAACACATTCTAGCTGTCTAAAACTATTAATCATGCCTCTGGTATTCAGACCTCATGTGTTTGGCCACTTTACCTATCTAAACATAGCTGATAGAGCCAGGAAGGAAACAAAATAATCTTGAATTGCAAAAATAGATAATGTAAAGTCCATAAACAAAATTTTATCTACTTTTTCCATAGGAGATTTTCCCATTTCAATATGCAAACTATTCAAACACAATAAAAGTAAGCAGTACTTTTCTACTTTTAAAAAAATTGTTCTAGATAACTTGATAATTGTGCTTTCAAAGCCAAAGACGGTTATAAGAAATTAAGCCGGGGATAGGAATGGGCTTAATAACAGGAGTAAATTGTTAAAGATAATAGTTTGAGAATCTAGAGATACAAGCACTACTAATATAATAAAAAAGAACAGCAATTTCTAAGTACATTTATTTCAGAAACAAACAGGTTCAATACACATGAGAGAAGCAATGAATCATAATACAATACCTGTTTTTATAATAATGATCCTGGGTGACGCTGAAAACAGATTTTTCTTTTTTGTTCTTCTCTTGTACATTATATCCTGACTACAGTTTTCCCACCCCCTTCCAGTGCTCTCCCACACCTCTGCTCTTCCCTAGATGCACCCATCATCTGTTTCCCTTTTTAAAAAAGACTTCCACATGAATCAGGGGAGTGCCAGCATACAATCCCACTGCCAGAGAGTCTAGGAATCAGAAACTTCATCCAGCGACTGATGAAAGCAGAGGCAGATACCAACAGACAAACACTGAACTGAACTAGAACCCAGTGTCAGAAAGAGAGAACTGATAGGCAAAGGAGTTAATAGTGGGCTGGTTTAACCCACAGAAACAGTTGGCCTGAACAAGGGGGAGCTCTTGGACTCTAGATTGATGGCTGTGTGGAAAGCATGGGAATGACTCAGACCCCCTGAATGTGGGTGTCAGTGAGGAGGCCTACGTAATCTTAGGGACCTTGGGTAGTATTTACCCCTGTCATACAAATAGACTTTGAGTGCCCATTCCAAAATATGGGAGGCTCTCTCAGCCGGGACTTTTGGGGGAGGGCCTAGGCCCTGCCCTGGATGAAATGACAGTTTCTGGAGATCCACCATGGAGGGCCTCATCCTCCTTGGGGATCGGAGTGGAGATTGTGTGAGGGAAAGGGGGACCTGGTGGCGAGGACAGGGGAAGAGGAGAGGGAGCTGGGATTGACATGTGAAACAAGATTGTTTCTAACCTAAATAAATAAAAGAAAATATAAAAAATGCAAAACAACAACAAAAGACTTCCAAGCATATCAACCAAGCACAGCACAACAAGATACAATAAGACTAGGCACATACCCTCATATCAGGGCTGGACAAGGAAACCTAGTAGAAGGAAAAGGGTTCATAATTACTCTACATTTTAATTTGAAATCACACTCTATATTAGTTTTGTTATTTACTGATTTATGGTAATTGGTGATATGTTAATATGTTTTCATTAATTTTGTAAATAAATTTCTACATCTTGTATAGTTAGGTTTTGTGCTGCTATAGAAGTTTGTTTAATATCACTGAGTACTACTGCTGATTGAGGACTCAAGAGCAGGCTACTAAGAAGATCTCCAAATAAGACAAAACCATCCAAATCAAATTATGTACAAATTGCAACACAGAAACAAACAATAACAATGAAAAAACAATGCAACATGCCTTCTCCAAATGATTATAACCCCTCAACTAATAAAATAAAAAATAGTGGCATGTGTAAAATATGAAATTAGGTCTCAGAAAGTTATTAGCAAAAAGGACCAACAACCTGAAAGAATACAAACAAGTATATGAACAAGACAGGGAAATTAACCCAGGGCCCAGACAGGAAAGCTAGCAACATGCATAAGAAAGTCAACAACATGTATGAAACTCAAAACAGGAAGGGAAAGTCATAAACATGGGAGAGAAGTTCACCAAGAAAATTCATAATTTGAAGACAAATATAATTGTTAGAAATAAAGATTTCAATAACTCTTTTTTTTGTTTTTACGAGACAGGGTTTCTCTGTATTGTTTTTGAGGCTGTCGGTCCAGCCCAGCCTTGAACTCACAGAGATCCGCCTGCCTCTGCCTCCCGAGTGCTGGGATTAAAGGCATGCACCACCACTGCCCGGTTTCAATAACTCTTAAAACACAATATAAAGTACCACAAACCAGGAACCAAGCAAATTACAGACTATCAGATAGAAAACAAGGACAAGGAATTACTACATTAAAATATTAGTAATGGAAAGAAATAAATGAGCATGACTACAACATACAAAAACTCTGGATTATTCTCAAGATATCAAACATAAGAACCCATGGGATTAGACGAAGCTGCAGTGAAAACTAAAGGCTTAAAATTCTAGTCAACAAAATTACAAGAGAAAATTTCTCAAATCTGTATAATCTTTATAGACATCCAAACACAATAGGCCTTTAGAACCCTAAAGAAGCATCACTGGAGAAGAACAGCATCAAAGGACATTATAAGTGAACTGTAAAAATATAATGTTAAAGGCTGTAAGAGGAAAATGCAACCTGCCCAAAATGTAAGCACATCCAAATAACATCAGATCGCTCACCAGTAGTCTTAAAGCCATGAAACCACGGAATGATATGTTTTAAGGCCCCAAAGTAAGTAAATGCCAACAAAGATTTCTATATCCAGCCAACCTATCAGTTCATAGCCACCAAACCAGCACTGGAGGAAATACTTAAAATACTACAGATTGGTGGAGATGGGGAGATTCATTATGAGCCAGCTACATAAACACGAGGCCCCACGTTCCTAACTTCAGCACCAATATAAAATCCAGGCACAACAGCAAGCATCTGCAACTCCAACGCTGGTGAGGCACAGACAGGTAGCTTCTTCTTATTGGATACCTAGTCTAACCAAGTGATTAACTCAAAAAGTAAGATGGAGAGAGATCAAGAAAGACATCCAAGGTCAAAGCTCTGGCTTCTATCTGCACAAAATGTGCACACATTCAAAGACATGTATCATGTATCACACACACACACACAATCTTATACACAGAAAAGAACAACAGTCTTTTATGAGAGTATAGCAAATGATACATTTTATGAGAGTAATAAATGACCAAGGAGAGTGAGGAAAGCATCTATCATGCCCAACACAGAAAACCTCTAGTTCCAGTAAGGAAAAATAATAAAAATCTAAGCAACCCAAATCACATGCAACTAAATTAAAGGAAGTAACAGGCCTCTGTTAACAACAATGTTAAATGTAAATGTCCTTAACTCACCAATAAAAACAGATTAGCTAATTCTATTTAAAAACAAGATCCAACTATCTGTTCTATTTCTAGGTATATATATATATATATATATATATACATATATGTATATATATATATATGATGGGTTGTAAGAAATCATATCACAGAGATGTTTCCACATGCATGTTTATTGTTGAACTGTTCACAATAGCAAAGATATAGAACCAGTCTAGGTGTCCATCAATAAATGAATGGATCAATAAAATGTAGTATTATAAATGATGGAACTTTATTTAACTATAAAGAATTCAATTACAGCATTTTGGGGAAACAAATGAAACTGAAGATCTGTTTGTTAAGCAAAATAAACCAGACAAATATCAATTTTTATCATATATAATAATATATATGCACACACATGAAACATGAAAGTAGAGATGTAGAGGAAAGTTATAAAGGGACACACGCAAAGTATGATAAGGGAGGTAATCAAATACAACAGGTAACAGAATATTTCTATCAAGAATTAAGAAAGGAGAATGTAAGGAGGAAGAAAGGGCACAAACAAGAATTGGAGGGCAGTCAAAAAAGACTGTGGGGAGTAGATAAGAAAGTAGAGTGATGTGTGCATATGAAAATATCACAATGAAATACATTCCCGTATATACTAATCCAAAAATATAATAAAAATTAAAGGCCATTCAAAAATAGACAAGACAAAAACAGAAATAAACTAACCATTGCTTTATAAAATTTCATTTTAATGATCTCCAATATTTAGAAATGGTTAGTTTCAAAATTTCCAGTGGGAAACATTTATGTTAGTAATGATGCAACAACAGGGATTTTTTTAATGACAATGCTTGTTCTGCATTAATGATAGGATTCAGTTCAGTTCATTGGTGTATTTTGCTTGTAAAATCTTAGGTTCAACTAAACCTTAGCAAAATGAAAACTGTATGTATTGTGTGATTCTTCTTTAATCTGCTGATTTAAATATATCAAATGAAGTTGTATCTGAAGTGACATGTGAAACAATCAACCTAGCCGGGAAATGACGCCATTGATTTTAGTAAACAGATAGATGAGAATATTTCCCAAGTAGTGCCAGTAAACAAAAATGAGTCATTACATCACATCACAAACTGACAGACATTAGGCAGAGAGATTTCAATTTAAATCTTTAACCTCAAGTTTGTTAAATATGCAGAGCACAGTTCTATTTACGGTGTTTGCATTGTGGTTTCCATGGTAATTTTGAAAGGCTCATCTGAATCAATCTTTTTCTTTCAAGGTGAGAAAAAGAAAATCATATATATATGTAGTTATAATGTTTTTAATTTTCATAATTTATATTAATACGAAAAGTCATCTTTCTGTAATACAATTGGCACAAGTAGTGTATGCTTTCAAAATAAAATTAGGGTCATATTCTGATGCAGATTTCTCAATGATAAGATAACTTATACATGTCCACTAGTTATTATTATATTTTGTTTTTTTCAGGAAAAGATGAGAACATTGGTCTCATTGCTGAGGAACAGGTGTGGAACTCTTTCTGTTGATTATCACTTTGTGTGAAGAAAGTTTTTTTCTCAGAAGGTCCACAGATTATCTTGGCATAGAGAACTCCTGTAAACAGATTATTTTGAGTGAAGTGGCCATGTTTCTTCATTACACTCAGTATCCACTTTGAAATGGCATGGCTGATCTGACAGAGTATAAAGGTTATTCTAGATAATTATTTCATCACATTGTGTTGGAACATCCAAACATTCAAGAGAGATAGTCTGAAGATTCTCTTTCCTCTGATGAATTTCCAAAGTACTGTCCTTACATCGCACACATGACTGGATGACCAAACTGCCATGTTCTGAAATTTGATCACGAAATTCTGAAGTCATAAAATAATAAACAACTGGATCAAGACAACAATTCAAATTTGCAAGACACAAGGAAATGATGTGGAAACACAGAGTGCTCTTAATAAACGAACAATTTGAGAAGACATGTTGCTTCACCATCATAAAGAATGGGAAATTGAGATGGTAAGGAGTGAAGCACACTATGAATACCACTGCACACATTAGGACCATCCTCAAAGCCTTTTTCCTTTCTTTAATATTCTGAGGTGTATCTTGGAATTCCTGTAAAGATTTTCTTGTTTTCCATGTGCAATACATAATAATTACAACAGGTAATACAAACCCTCCAAGTTCAGCAGCAGTTACCATGCCAATGGAGGAAGCCATACTAATGTCATGAAGCCCTAAATCAGCAAAGCAGGAGTCCTTGTTGTTGGCTAACCCAGCACTTCTCAGGATGGGAAGTGGCAAACAGGCAGTTCCCACAATGACCCAGATGGCAGCACTGATGGCCACATCATACCTACGCTTCCAGTTTCTGGCACTGAATGGCTTGAGGAGAAAGAGGCACCTCTGAAGGCTGATGCATGTCAAGAAAAAAATACTGGCATACATGTTGAGATATTTCAGATAAAAGCAGAGCAGGCAAAGGGCTTTCTGGAATGGCCAGTGACGGTTGATATAGTAGTAAATCCGGAGAGGTAAGGACAGGACATGAGCGAGATCTGCCACTGAGAGGTTGATCATGAAAATGATGGCCTTATTCTTCTTGCTGATGAAGCGACACAGAACCCACAGGGCTGCACTGTTAGCCAGGAGACCAGGGATGAATATGAAGATATAGGTGGTTGCATACAGAGAGTACTGAAATGTCAGATGTGTAGCATTGCAATAACTCTCAGCAGTACTGGTACTGTTGCTGCCCATCTTGAATATTTCAGTATGTTCATCAAGGTGAACTATAGAGTTATGGCTCCTGCCCAAAGATAAAGGTGGTTGCCAAGAAGGAGTACTGAAACAGCATTTGTTGATCAGTGCACTTTATTCTCATACTGTTTGTGCTGTTACTTCCCATCTTGTGCATTTATGTTCCTTCCTTAGGAAAAGCCTTTGCATGGCGGTTTCTGTGGAAAATAGAACAAAGATCTAGTCAGAGGGAAGCCAGGACATGTGAATATGCATATTAGTTGTATTCCTACTAGAGGTGTTGAAATGTGATTTCATAAATTTGAAAGCTCTCATCTGCATCAAATTAAAATAGTGCAACTACTTACCAAGAGATAAATAGTAGCAAGGAAGATGTTTTCAAGAATGTAAAAGCTCATTATTTGGACAATAACTTCATTCAGGTTTTTACTCTGACAGATAATCATCCAAGTGTCATAGGTAATCTGCAACCAAGATCTCATGACCCATCAGCCCCCAGACAAATGTCCAATCACCCTTGTGAAGTTCCATGTTTCATTTGTGTACCTGTTTCTGCTCAGTGTTTGAGATTTAGCCAAGTTATTGCCATCAACCCTGAGATAATGAAATCTTAACCTATTTTCAATAGCTACCTTATAAAACATTAGACGGTTGTTAATGTGAATTATGAACTCTTGTTAATGGCACATACACTGAGGCCTAAGAAAGGGCTGACAGGTCACCAGGCTTTAGGAAAGATAAGGTCTTAAGAAAAAACAGAGTTCCCTTCTTCCAAATATGACTGAAAACAAGATTTGTTTGCTAACATCTTGTTAACAGAATCTCTGTGTTCATTAACAACACCATGGCAACTTCAGACACTCAAATATATTGAAACTATCTTTACACCACTTAAATCAATTTCCAGAATGCATGAAGCCCTAGAGGATATCCTCTCAAAAATGCTTCCCTTTAGTTCTGAAATTCAGTGAAATTTTTTTCATGTAAATGGCTGTATTTTCAGTGGTCAAAAATTTTGGAAATTTAGTAACTTAAAATCTGTTTCCATGTTGTTTCAACTTAGTTATTCTTGTCAAAGACAAAATAGTCTGCTCTCTGTTAGACATAAAAGTTCAGGAAATATCTGAAGATAATAATCATGTCTTCTCTCAAATCTTCCTTATTCATTTCTAATATGACACAGTCCCTGTTCTTGGTTTTGTTTTATGTTATAATTTTATTGCTTTTGTTCAAAAATCATTATAGTTCAGCTTATTTTATGCCTGAAACCAATATTTAACTAATAAGTGTTTGATGATTTTTAAGAAATATATTTTATATATCTGATTTCAAATACAAAGGAACAAATAACATTTTAATGCCTTGTATTTTTAATACTTGAAAAGGCAGCTAGTTTGCTAGGCATTTTATAAAGTCAAAGGAAAAATGAGACAGCTTTAATAGCAACAAGTACTCAAGTGGAGAAGTAAAATGCATATGTTGCTACGCCCTTTGAATTAGTTTGCAAAGTGATATAGGATCTAGGACCATGTTTACAAACCTAGACTGTAGTGATATTTTGTTATGGTCTAACAAATAAAGCTTGCCTGATGATCAGAGTTCAAAGCTAGCCAGAAGCAGACAGATCTCTGTTACTTCAAGGCTACCCTGGGCTACACAAGATTGAATCTGTCTAAAAGACAAACAGAGCTCACACAAAGGTGATCCCAGCACTTGGGATCCCGTACCTTCAATCCCAGCCCTAGGGAGGTGGACACAGGAGTGATCGGGTTAGGCGGAGAGAGGAATATAAGGCAGGAGGAGATAGGAGCTCAGTGCAGTCTGAGCAGTCTGAGGATGCAGTCTGAGGGGAGGATCTCTGCTTTGTTCTGAGCATGGGTAGAAGTAAAAACGCTCTAGTGGCTGGCAACTTGGCTTCTATGATCTTCTGCACTAACTCTTGGTTTTTTATTATTAAGACCTAAAAGAATTCAAGCTACCCTAGACACAGTCAATTAAAATGGAAAGATGTGATCATTTTAGACAAAGTCCATACAATTTCAAAACCTAATTGATGTCTCTGCAATGAGTACATGTAACTCTAGTATACACTGTATTTACTGAGATGAAGTCAAAACTTATTTGATGTCTTTGCAGTGAGTACATGTAACTCTTAGATAAACTGTATTTACTTAGCTGAAAGTTCAAAGCAGTCAAACAACCAGGTCATTCAGGCAAAAGCTACTCAAATTTATTTGTCTGAGTTAAATATGCTGCTGAATCAGACAAGTGGTCCATTAAAGTGTAAATAGAGACAACACTATCATCTTTTTATAATTTGCTTGAGCTAACTGAAATAATTGATACTGTGTTTTTTAATACTCAGACTAAATTTTAAAAATACTTTCAAGCACAAACCAGGTAGAGTATTCAAATACAATCAGACAATTAATGCTTTAGTTTAATTACAAAAACATATAACAATTACTAAATCACTGTCTTGGCCAGATTCTATAGTAAATGCTGTGTGTACACTCCAGAAATCTCTGACATCAATGCTATGAAACAAGACATAATGGCTGCTTTATCAAATGAACAAACTGAGGTTTCCAAAAGGCAAGACTCACTTCCTCCATGAAGCCCTTTTTGCCATCCACAAATTACAAAAGGAATTTTTCTGGCTTCACAATATCATAATTCTGACTATTCTCTTTCTGTGCATCACATAATATTTTATGGAAAGATGAGGTCACTTTCCTTTCCAGGTGGTTCTGCTGTGGGAAATAGGAAGAAATCTCCTATATGCCAAATGCCCATCCTCTTATTACATCTTTTCCTCCAAAATAAAAGTATAGAAAAGTGTCTTGACTATTTGAAGGATCTGTTGACTGTTTGTTGGGTGAATAATTTTATGAGAGACAAGTGAATCTGAGAGACACAAAAAGGAAGGGAAATGAGTGGGAGTGAAGGAGTGTCTGGGGATTAGGATTTAGCTGTGATGTTTGACTTGACCACCAGGTGTCATAAGTATACCAATGTTAAATGCATTGACACTTGAAAGAAATTTGAAACCTCATTAATAGAAAAGTTAAAGGGGAACAATAGGCATCCCATAAACTTCAGAAACAATCTTTTCAACAGTATTTTAGAAGACTTGGTTTATTATTGTTATAAGCATCCACACTTCATAAACATTTTCTAAAAATTGCTTGGCTTCTAGATGTGTTATAGATTCCTAAATTACAGAGCTGTTAAAGGCCATCTAGATAAGAATCAGTTACTTTTCAAAAGAGGAAAACATGCCAGAAAAGGGAAACCTAAAAGTTACGAATTCACACACAAAAGTTAGTGGTAATGACTGAACTGGGGCCTCTTGAATCTCACCACAGAACAATATCAACTTTTCCAGGAACTTTGAAGATGGAAAACACATTTTTGTAATTATACAGTAACACAAATGTTCAGAAATGAACCAATGCCAGGTTTTAGGCCACTGACCTTGACAGTGAACTGTTACAAAAAGAGGGATTGCTTCCTTCCAGTTTTTCCAGAGCAAGTATACTGTTTAAAGGAATAATTCTAGTCCCTGGGGATAAGTTTGTGTAAGAAGCCTCCTTAGAAAAACTTAATTATGTTGTCCTTAATCTTTCATTATTTCTACACATAAGGAAATGAGTTCCATTAGAAAACAGAGATAAGTAAAGACAAAACAAGTTTTATTAATATTGAATACTGAGTCTGAGACTCTGGAAACAGTCCGGTTATATACAGACATTTATATACACAAGAGTTTCCAGACATAACATTTTCATTCACAACTTTCCAGGTCATTTTCTATGTATATAGATTTATAAATGCATTCATAGACAGCCATTTAATCGAATTTAACTTGTATATACATACACTTCTATAAATGTAGTTTCGATCAATTAATCACAGATAGAGTAAATTCCATATCAATGACGTTTAAATGATAAATTTAATGGATATTTACATTTTAATTATAATTACCTAGTATAATGTATTAAATTAATGGGCATTGTACTAGATTACCATTTTACTAGTAGTAACAATTGTAAAGTTCATAATGGTGGTATCTGCCTACAATCCCAACAGTGGGAGGTTCAGTGAGAAGCTTCAGGAGTTAACCTTCATTATTCTTTACACAGATATGTCAAGGTGTGCCTGAGACTATGTAAAATCTTTTGTGAAACAAAAACATTAAAAGGTATGGTAAACATCGTTGCACACTCATCTTTATATATTTGAACAACTTGTTCCTTTAATTTTAAGTTGAATCGATAAATATTAAATATATATTTCAAATTATTCAAGAAGGCTTCCCATATGAAATTTCAAAGTCCATGTTATTTTCTGTAACATCACAGTGACACATATGTTATTGTTCCAGATATATCAAATCCTGTCTATCTGAATAAGTATGATGTAGCTAACTATGACTAAATCAAATGACATGTGACAAATTGTGCAAGCATATGTTGAACACAGCTGTATACATTGTTAAATAGTAAATCAAGATGAATAACATATCATTCACCTCATATAGTTATAATTTTTATGAGAACATTTAAAATTTCCTACTGGGAATTCTCCAGTATTCTAAGTATTATTTGTTATTTTGTGATGGTGCACAGTAGATCTCCAGAATGTATGACTCATTCCTTACCACCCAGCTAAAGGATCAGCTGTAGTTAGAAAATTATGATAGTTATCTTAACATCTTAATGAAAAGGAATCTTGAATGTTCCACTTTTAATAGGCTTGTAACCACAAATCCAAATACCTTAACACATGGTTCTCAAAGTTAAACATGCCTCAGAATGATCTAGAGTGAAGTCCTACCCAGAGTTTTTCATTTAGTAGATCTGGGATGGGGACCAATAATAAGCATTTCTAATAATTATCCCATGTGATCATTGTTTGAAAATCACTGCCCTAACACACTTCCAATACAAGCAAGAATTGTTTTATCTAAGGAAAAAAAGTATGCTTCCCTCACAAATATTGTGACTCGTTTAACTCACTCCTTTTCTTTTTTAATTTTTACATTGGGTATGAAGAATTTTTTTGACAATTTAGTGGTCTAATTTCCAACAATTTGTAGTATAATCTAGCATGTTGATCTATACTCAATTATTACTTCCTTCTCCACATTCTGGAAAGAAATGCTAATATAAAGTAAACATTTAAGGGAGAT